AAGACCACCACTCACACAAAATCAATGTTTTTTCCTGGTTGTAACTATTCCAATCAACTCACAGTTCCATCAACATTGCGGGTATGTCTTTTTGTGAATACAATTACTATGTACCTCCAGAATGTAGAATCAGTAACTACCATTTAAGTAGTAAATATTTTATATGTATTTGAGTTTAAAGGAAACAAATCTATTTTATTTTTATTTAGTTCACTTTTTCACTTTTTTATTTAATATTATTTCAGTTGCCATCGTCATCTCGTGTGTGTCATAATTGTTGGCGAAGGTTTGATAGAGCAGCATCACATTCAACTGCAGAACGGGAACCATCTGAATCATCTAATTCATCCTCGTTGCAATCTGAAGTCGGTAATGTATTGCACCCATATTCAAACATTCTAATTTCAATAGAGAATGAAGCTGGGTATTTCCACCTGCTTGGGACACTGTAATTAATAAAATTAAAACTAAACCCAAGCATACCATGCAAGACTTCAGGACAGTAAGTTCATTCTGCGTAGATCGGACCATAAATAGTTATTAAAAAGCTGAAGTTACTCCAAGTTAACACTGATTTCGGTACACCAGTCACCTCAATCCCCCATGACCATGTGTGCTGGAAAGCACCAGAAAGTCGGGATTTAGAAATCAAAGAAATTAAATGCGATAACATCGGTAAAATTAGTTGTTAAAAAACTGTATTTGTGAAAATAAAAACTTTTATATCTTAAAATTCCCGACTTTTTTTAAACCAATTTCTTAACCATTTCATTCCTTTAATTGTATATTATCATATCTATATGCTTTTATATGTGGGCACCCATGGCCGAAATGTCTATGAAGAGTGGGCATTCCTCTTTACTTTAATCATTTGGAGTGTGTTCGTTGTGTAAGAAAATCCATTTGGTTACATGAGTAACATAAAAGCCGTACAATAAAAAATGTCCTGCAGATCATGTTCCTCCAATAGACGTTCAATAAACCATTTCGCAAACTAATGGTACTCATAAATTTTTCAATTCCATTATCGTTCACGATACAGGGAAGTATAAAATTGAATTAATATTTCGTATATATTTATGCGAACTTAACAATAAAATCACTTTTACGGATTTTATCGCGTTTAATTTGATTTGTGTTTATTTTTGTTGAACATGTGCTAGACGTCCTCCACAATTACAGCTATCGTTACAGCCTGTCAAAGTCTACTGCTGAACATAGGCCTGCTCCATAGATTACCTCATAGGGGGGATAGAGGGGAGATGGACCCCCACAGGATGATATGGAGTAGTGGATATTCTTATACCGCCACTACATGGTAGATTTTCTGCAATTACTACAAATATAATACACCACAAATCCTCGCAAAAGAACATCGATGCCTACCAAAAAAGGTAGAATTGAAAACAACCTTATTTAAAAAGAGAACGTAGATGGGTACTACCAGTCTGTGAGTGCCTGAGATTTTGTAATTAAATGAAATTAGAAGGTAACACAAGCATACCACTACAAGGCTTCAAAAGCACCGGTCATGGGATACCGGGCGAACTTTGACATCGGAACGTTAAACACTCAGTTCATCCATTCCCCCGTAACCAGGGGGAGTGGATTAGTGGATTTAACCCAAAAAACAAATTAAATTAAACGCGATAAAATCCGTAAAAGTATTTCTATTTAAAGATGAATGCAATCAACGATAGTTCACATGACTGATACGTTATTCTTGTCATACAGTTTTCTGTTAGGCGTAAAGATTTGGAAAAGTGAACTTAGCTAGCTCCGCAGGTGTGAAATATCCAGCGTCTGCGACTGCGATCGCCGATCACTGATCTTCCCGGGCAGCGAGCCGACTTAGAATTTAAAATCATTCCCCCGCCGATCTCCAAGAAACCATAATATTATAAAAGCCTTTCGTTGGTGCTCTTAGTGAGTGTAGACTTAGGGCCTTCCACAGAATGCAGTACAACCATGCCGCTTACACCAGATGTACAATAACCAGACCGGCGACGGGCAGCAGCAGCAAAGATGCCCGACGTCTACTGCTGCGATCGTCAATCAGCTATCCCTACAGCGGACGACGTTCATATCCAGCAGAATTTTGGAGTGATGGATCGGAAAAACTATCTTATCTTATTGTTTGCTGCTATCACTTATACTTCATAATTAAAATAATCAATGAAAATACAAACTGATATGCAAAGTTTATTTTTTAATTTCATGTATGATTTTTAGGTAAAAGGGTTATTAGTAGATACCGCATCCGCAACCTCCGATGGCGCGTCCAGCGAAAGCGGGACCGTAACCGAATCCGGTAGCAAGACCAGGTCCGTAACCCAACCCAGCGTTGACCGGGTAGCCCAGAGTGGATGCGGAAATGTCTTCGCTTATGATACCTACGGCACCGTCTCCGCAACCGTAAGAGACGACACCAGCACCGGCAGTTGGAAGCACACCCTCCAGACCAACGGTGCCCAGGAAAGGCAGTTCACCAAAGGCAGACAGGATTCCTCCGATCTCGTTCTCTGAGAGAACAGATACTCCAACAGGCGGAATGGGAGACGCGCTGGCGACAGGGAAACCACCGCCGCTAGCAGTTGGAATGGCAGCTAAACCGCAACCGGCACCGTAACCAGCCAAGCCTAAGCCTCCCCATTGGCAGCCGCAGGGAGCACCGTCAATCAAGGAACCTTCGTAGGCCAGTCCGTTGCCCAAGCAGTAGGCAGTTATGGTCTGAATATTAATTAAAAAGCAAAGTTATATTACATTAATTTCTTGTAACTTCTCAAATTGCAACTGTTATTATTTTTATTAAAATCCAAAGCTGCTGCCTGCAATAATTTCTTATATTTATATAATTAATTATAATATTTGGAATTGGAAAAATTTATTTGTATTAAAGCGTTTAGTAGTTAGTATTTTTTTTCTTACCTGAACCATGAGCGCTTGAGCGAAGAAAAGAATGACTGCTTTGGTACACATATTTGTTGTGTTAATTGAAAACAAATGTGGGTATAAATTGGGTCGATTGGGTTATATATAGAACTGAAATGATTTTGAAATTATATCGCGCAATTCGATGATCCCTTATACGTGACAAACACCAAGAGCCTAATCGTAATACGAAAACTATTACAAATCATAGAACTCTTTAAAAGAAGGTATTAAATTCCTACATTTTAACAAATTTAGTTATAAATAAATAAAAATCATCTCAATTTTATGAGATTTAAATCTAAAGGCATTTAAAATCTTCATTATTTTTAATAATATTACTCTACAATATATTATTTTATATAAGTTTTAGTACAATTTTAAATTAATAAGTCCTTCGAAAATTTTGGAGATGTCTTTTGTCAGTTTCACTCCTTGTCAAGTTAAATAATTCCTTATGTTGTGGAGAACTAATAATATAAGAGCACTAGTATAGTCCCTGATATAAATATCAAATTTTTGCGTTTACTCATCTTGCTGAGTATGCATGCGGCTGTTTTTCCAAGCTTTATATTTGACAATAAGTTTCTGAAAATCAAATCATTTGTCACGTTCCACACAAGTGAAACACGAGTTAATGTCTTATCGATATAATTCTTTTACGGAATACGTTTACGTTTATTTTTAATTACGAAAGTATTTATATTTGTACAGGGAGTAAAGAGTATATAATGCATTGTTTTAACATTTTTGAATCACTTTAAACTTGGTACAGTTAGAAAAGCCTTAAACATGTCTTCTTTCGCTTTCTTCTTGCTCTGCGTTCAAGCGTGCTTGATCCAGGTAAAACTCTTGCAAGTTTATTTTAATCTATATGTCAATAATGATTTTATACAATTAGGATAAATTAAAAAAAGAACCTACTTTTAATCTATGTAGTTAAAATTTATATTCATGAAACAATTTTGACACCATGTTCCATAAATCGATAATTATTATTGAAAATAATTCAATTTTCCTTTTACTTCTCACAGTCAGTTTAGAGTGTTACAGTACATTGTAAAGATGTTTCTCCATTTTCAGAACGTATACAGTCAGTGTCTCGGAGCTGGACTTGGATTGGGCTATGGTCCAGGATACACTGCTGAGTACGGGTTGGGATGTGGATCTGCTTTAGCTTCTGAAATTGCTTGCGGACCTGGAATCGGTCTTGGATACGGTCTCACTGGGCCTGGTGGTCTTGGTTACCAAACAGGTATTGCTGGTCCAGCTTACGGAGGCATAGGCGTTGGTGACGTGGTGGTTGCTGGCGATATGGGTGTCGTTGGTAGCACCTTAATAGGTGGTCAGGTTCCGATTCTGGGCGCTGTTAGATTCGGTGGTGAAGTTCCAGCTGGTGGTGTTGTCTCCATCACCGGAAGCTGCGGCGGAAACTGTGGTTGCGGTTGCAACGGTGCTTACCTGTACTGAAGTGAGGAAATGTCAAATTGAAAATAATTACAAATTTTGAACTTCATTGAATATTTTCAATCCATAATGCTCTCCTGGGTTTTTTGGTTTTTGTCTATTTATGTATTATTTATGTTAGTATATTAAATATATATTTATGTATGTTTATCACTACCTTTTATATATTTATTCAGTCCAATCAGATGAGAATACTCTATTAACGCCCCGAAATAACTTACGCCACGTCGTGTCGGGCTTACGCCGCGACACGTGCTCGGAGCGGACGTGTCTGTAATTTTGTCATTAAATTATTGATTATTTTAACTGATTAGTCAAATTAAACTGCATCCAATCTATAGTGTGTTAGTGTATACTTTTAAATGCGTTACTGAGTGCGTCAAACGACATAATCGTCCTGAAGAAGAAATTCAAACGTTACCGAGTGTCCTCTTCACCCCCTCGAGAAAAAGAAACGGGCTGCAATTCAAATAAAATAATTCGTCTAGTTTACGTCTGCACAGGTACGCACACAGCCACATATACATATATATACCTTTCTAACATGTCCGTACAGCGTTCACCAACTGAACGACATATTAAGAATACTGATAGCAATAGAAATGAGCCAAATACATCTCGCAGTGAATTCCAAACAGATCTGCGGCAATTATCACTATCTCACGGAGACTAGACAGGCCACCTTAAGAAAAAGAAAACAACCTAATGATGATCTGTCCCAAAAGTTTGATAAATTTGAAAATAAAATAATATCAATTCTGTCTACAATGTCCCAAGTTCAATCTGATAAATTAGATAAAATCCCTCAGGAGTTATCGCTAGTAACAAATCAGATTACTCAACTTAGATCTACTACTACTCAATTAGTTAAGGAACAGAATAGACTAATCAAGAACTAGTGAATATTGAGAAGTTTAAAACAACCGTAGAGCAGAAAATCGAAAACATCAAAAATGACCCCGGAAACCTTAAAGCAGCAATTGAAAAAACAAATTCTGATGGTCTTATTTCGACCTTCACCGAGCTGTCTTCAAACCATACATCATACAAAAAATTATCAGTGAAATCCAAGAACGTTCCCGGAGAGAGAAGAATGTAGTCCTGAGTGGAATCGTCGAAATCAGTTCCAAAACTTTGGTGGTGAGAATGGACCATGATAAAAAAGAAGTACAAAGAATAAAAAAACTTGCATATCCTGACTATCCTGAGCCTATAAAAGTCATGAGGTTATGAAAATACATTTGCTAGAGATCTCGACCCATTAAAGCTTGTTTTTCCTCAGCTGAAACAGCTAAATTAATATTACATAACAGATCTAATATATCCAATGTGGAAACTAACATAAAATGCTATTCCGATCAGACGCCTCTAGAGAAGAAACTTATGGATGACAGATGAGCTGTACTAAAACGTCGCATAGACGCAGGAGAACGGGGTCTCACTATTAAGTTCATTTGAGGCGTTCCGCAAATTGTCCAAGATTGTCCAAAAAACCTACCTGCACAAGAGACAATGACAGCAACTTAACATGTAGCAACATCACATACCAACTAACAAACACACATACCAATATCTTTAATGATGGAAAATGTCTTAAGTGCCCATATGCAAATGTACGAAGCATTTCTAGGCCAGGCAAATTAGATGAACTTAAATGCATAATACATTCAATACCTCGAACAGTTCATGTAATAATACTGGCTGAAACCTGGATAAAATGTGAAGCAGAAGCAGAAAGCTTAACCTTACAAAATTATACCCATTATTACAACTTTAGAACGACAGGAAGAGTAGGAGGTGTGTCCATCTACGTGCACAATAGTCTGACCCACAATTACATTGCAGACCTTTGTAAAAACGACAATCATTACTTATGGATTCATTTAAACAAATTTTCTATTGATATTGGCGCTACATATAAACTCGAAAGAACGAACAACACTGACTTCCTAGGAACTTATTCGCAACAGTGACTGAAACGCAAACGAGCAGTTGTATTTGGAGACTACAACTACAACTTATTAAACAATAACCAAACAACTGTGAAATACAAACGAATGATACAAGAAAGTCGGTATAGTCTACTTAACAAAATAAACCACAAATACTGCACGTGTGAAACATCCAATTCTAAAACAATTCTAGACCATGTTAGTCCAAACCTGCAATACCATAATTTTCATCTTGCTATTATTGAGTCAGCCATGTCTGACCACAAACACATTTACCTAAAAATTAATAAATATAAACCAGAGAAGAATAAAAAGACCGTGTATGAAGCTATTGACTACAATAAATTGAACGAAACTGTAAAGTAATGCCTATCCGATTGCCATGAACTGAAATTTGAAGAACTAGATACAAAACTTTCTGAAGCTCTCAAACGTAGCAAGACTAAAACTAAAATTTACGATCAGACTGGATAAATAGTGATATTTTAGCGGCCATAGATAACAGGGACCGATTATGGTATTCTTACTTTAAGACATTACCAAATGAAGCTGACGAACAACATCTTCTATCAGTGAAAAAGCATGTAAAGAGAATGATCCTCACTTCAAAAAGTGAATATTAGTACAAGGCGTTTAAAAATTGTGACAAAAAGCCGCTCAAGATGTGGAATCTCATTAACTCCTTATGTTCCAATAAACTGAAACTTAGCAGCGCTCCGTCGAAACTCGAAACACATTCAGGTCCTATCACTGAATTAACTGATATATGTTATTACTTAAATACTTTCTTCTCTTAGATAGGCTCCCCTCTCACCAATAAAATTCCATATAAGTATCACGATAATTTCACATACACCAATTTGTACAACAAGCAAATAGATATTACAACTATGGAAATGGAACTAACACAATATACCCCTACTACAACAGATGAAGTCAACAAAATCATAGTCAGTTTAAACTCGAATACAAGTACTGGTCTCGACGGTTTAACGTGTAAAACCTTAAAATCTATAAAACCTCTTATCTTACAAAAATTAACAAACACTATAAATAATTGCTTAGAAAGTGGTTACTTTCCTGATTCCTTAAAATTGGCCAAAGTTAGCCCAATATTTAAGTGAGGTAGTAGAACAGATCCAGGAAATTATCGCCCTATCTCCATACTTCCAGTACTCTCAAAAGTATTCGAAAAAGTTTTATACAATCGTTTGGATAACTACCTAGCATCAGTTGACTTCATTAATAGCAAACAATACGGCTTTCGCTCGAAATCAAACACACTTTCGGCCTGCATAGACTTAGTCACTAACTTAAAAAACAATATAGACAACAAGCAAATTGCTCTTGGAGTATTTATCGATTTAAAAAAGCTTTTGATACAATAAGCCATAAATTAAAACAAACAAATTACTTAATATCGGTATCAACACATAGCAGCTTACCTCTCTAACAAACATCAAATTGTTAAAATTCTTAATACTCACAGTACACCTCAACGTATCACTTACGGGGTACCACAGGGCTCTATTCTTGGGCCTCTTCTATTTATCATCTACATAAACAATATTCATGAACCAGGGTTAGCTGGTGATGTGACATTATACGCTGACGATACTAATCTCTTCTACTTTGGTGACAATATACAAACAATATTTAAAAAAGCTCAAAATGATCTAAATACTCTAACTACATGGTTTAAGTACAACCTTTTAACTATAAATGTATCCAAGACCAATTATATAATTTTCAGTGCTAGGAATAAGAAAATTTCTGACTGCCCAACGCTATATATCAGTAGTGAACCGCTTTTGAGTGTAGATTCTGAAAAATATCTCGGACTTATTCTTAACAGTCAAATTACTTGGAAGCCTCACATACAGAAAATCCAATCAAAACTTTCTGCCCTTATGGGTAGGCTTCGGCATACTGTTCGTTGTTTTCCAAAATCTGTCTGCTAGACTATATATAACTCATTGATCAAATCTTATCTATGCTACCTAATAGAACTCTGGGGTTCTGCTGCTAAAACAAATTTAAAACAATTGCAAGTATCCCAAAAAAAAATAATTAGACTGTTATTCCACTTTAACTATCTAACACCGACATACATAATATATAATAAAACTGGTCTAATGACATAAGCACAAATGTACAAATACAATGCATGTATTCTTATACGAAAAATCCTTAAAAATATACATACACAAATAACATTTACAGAAAAGGCGCAAATTCAACGACATTTAATGAGAAGTGCTAACAATATATACTTATTGGCACCACGTACTAATTACGGAAGAAAAAACATCAAATATGAAGGAGCTCAACTATATAATAAGCTACCAAACGATATAAAAGAAATCCAATCGTTATCATTATTCAAGAAGAAATTGAAATACCATATCTTAAAAACAGTCACATAATGATATTATATATAAAGTATACCTTACATCCACATACGACTTACAGCAGTTAGGTAGATAAATAAATAAAAATTTAAATTTATGTGTGAATGTATATGCATATGTATGTATATCTATGTTTATATATGTGTATACACACACATATGTATGATCCAAACTTTTATATATTACATTAATAATATAATCTAATGTCAGAATATACAATGTAATACCTATACCTATAATACAATATAACCTAGTTAATTATGATAATCTAAAATTGTGCAACATATGTATTAATGTTTAACTTTACACAAGAAAACTTAAAACATAATAAATAATTCTTACAACATAATAATATACTAAAATCTAAAAGTAATGATATAATATAACGTAATTTTATAATTTCTCTTCTTAGAAATCAATACACAATATATATATTAGCAGACCCGGCCACGCATTGCTGTGGCTAACGTCTTTGTTATATCATCAATCATGGAGAACATCAATCATGGGGACCACCATGCTATTTTTACATAGATGCCATTTGTAAAAAAAATGGTGAACTCCACGGCTGATTTTCTACTACCGTTACCCTTAATACAATGAAATTGTTGTTTACGAACGAAGATTGAAACTTTAAAGCTGGTATAAAATTCCGCTGGATTAGGATTTAAAGGAGAATGACTTTGAACACGGTTGATCAAAATTTTTGTGCAATTGATATCAAGCAAAATCATTAAAATAGAATTAATTTTAAAATTTATAATTTTTTAATTCAAGTTTGTAACAAATGAGTATATTACAAACTTTACAGTAAATAACATTACTTGCATAATCGAGGTGGATTCAAATTACGCAGGAGAATAATAGGTGAACCAATCTTTAGTCGAAGATTATGTGGTGGCATTCCAGGTATATCTAGTGAATTTAAAAATTCGATTGGAAAATTTACACTTTCATTTTCATTAACAACAGTATCGATTGATTTAAAAGACATCAGATCGCCAGGTAATAACTGTTGTACCTGGAAGTTAATTTCGTCAACATCAACATTTTTGGCTGCCAAAATAGCCCGATCACTGAGCCAGTTATTATTCAAGAATTACTCTGTATATCTGGAAAGATACTCTGAATCAATACATTTTTTCCTGGAAGAACAGTGCAGAAATTGTCTGGCAGTTTAATGCATTGCGTATTTGGTTGCAGTTCTATTTTACCGTTCCCAATATCTAGTAATTGTTCGGAAAATATTTGTGCAGATGAATCATTTTGCAATCGTACGCGCATGTTTATGGTCAAACGAAGTGTTTCTACACTTCGCCATAAGAATGATTGTTTCAAACATGCATTAATCTCATCCGCGAAAGTAGAGCGAGGTATAACGGGTTGGTCTGTCGTAAATCACTAGACAAAAGTAAGATAGAACCACTGAAAAGTTTATCGTTGCCGTTTAAATCTTGCATAGTTCTATGCAATGCTTCGAGTGAATGTTTGTAAGGCATTGTGCACTCATCCCAAATTATGATTGAACTCTTCCGC